GGAAATCCCACGTTAAGAGAGCTCTGGTCCAGACCGGCCGGGAGGCCGCCAGGGGTCAGTGGAGAGCCGCAGCAATTAGCTCTGGAATTAAAGCCCTCTTGCCACTCGCCCGGCCCCGAGGACCCGCGCACCAGGACCTGGCTTGGATCCTGGGCATCTCGGAGGCTGCAGATGGGCCGGGCGGCCGGGGCCCAGAGGCTCGGTCTGGGTGGTAATTAGGGACGGGGACCCAGCTGAAGGACTCACCGGCCAACCAACGGGTCCATTCTTCTCTTCCAGCAGAGAAGGTCCTGCCAGCTCCCCGGCTCTTCCTCTCCATGCCCTAATTACGCTCCGGCTCCCTCTGCGCCCTGCCACACCCCACATCCCCAACACACACACACACACACACACACACAGCCTGGAAGGTTGGGGGTGAGGGCCCCCGGCTGGTGCAGGCCTGCCGCTTCCACCCCGACCCCCCACCCTGCTTGGAACCACAGCCAAAATGGGAACCAGCCTAAGTCAGCCCCACCCGCAGTCACTCTCCAGGCGTCCCAGGCCCCTCCCCAGACTGAGCCCCCAGCACGGCCCCTCCCCCCTCCGTGGGCAGGGCCAGGCCCTTAGCCTCCACCTGTTCGTGTGGGTTTGCTTTGACTGTCACAGCAAAGTCTCCCACACTAAGTGGCTTAAGCAGCAGAAATGTGATGGCTCACCATTCTGGAGACCAAAAGTCCAAGATCAAGGCGTCGGCCGGGCTGGTTCCTTCGGAGAACCTGCCTCTCCCCTGGCTGCCGGTGGCTCGCCCGCATATTCGACGCTCCTTGGACTCCTTGTAGGTGAATCACCCCCATCTTTGCCTCCATCTTCGTTTGCCATTTACTTTCCCTGTGTGCGTGCGGTCTCCCCAAATTTCCCCTTTTTCTGAGGACCCCGGGCACACTGGATTAGGACCCATCCTAATGACTTCATTTTAATTTGATTGCCTCTGTAAAGCCCCTGTCTCCACATAAGGTCATGCTTCATGCTGAAGCGGCTCCTAGGGTTTCAACCTATGGGGGTGCAGGGGTGGGGGGCACAGTTCGGCCCGTAACGCTGCACGGTTGTCAGCCATACATGCTCACACCTTGTGAGCCAGCCTCATACTGCTGCTCGCTCCAATTCCCATGTGAGCTGTTCTGGCCAGCGGTGGGTTAATGCGTCATCCCCCTTTCATTCCCTCACTCAGTGGGTATTTACTGAGCATCTCCTATGTGCCCGGCACTCTCCCGGGTGGCCAAGATAAGCAACGACAATAAACAAGTGAGCACATAGGGAGAAAATCCCAGCATGGGTCGAATGCCGCGGAGGATATGAACAGGACAGGATGGAGAATAATGGGTATGAGGAGAGTGATTTAGGACTGGGTCATCAGAGAAGGTTTTCCCAGGGAGGAGATGTTTCAGCCTGAAGGATGGAAGGGAGACCACTGTGCAAACATGTTCAAGGGAGAATATTCCAGGCCAAGGGGACAGCAAGCCTGAAGACGAGGAGTCCGAGGAGAGCTCATCATGTCCTGGGAAGAGAAAGGAGGCCAGATGACTGCCGTGTCCTGAGAACCAGAGGGAGCCCCCCTTCTGATGCAGGAAAGATGTGAGCAACCCCTGAGGTCCTCAGAGCCTATGGACGGGATAAGGTGGGAGGCCCAGCAAGGACGGGATCACAAGGGGCCGCTTGGGCCACAGTGAGGAGTTTGAATTTCATCCTGGGAGCAGAATGGGTCCACGTGACCGCACTGTGCCCTGGCTTTCCGTGGAGGCTGCATTGGAAGGAGCCAAGGTGAAAGCGAGGAAAACACAATCATTTTGAGCGGCCCCAGCAGCTCCACCCGTCTGAGCCCACCTGAGCAGGTGCATGTGTCCTGGTGAGGCCACCCGCCACGTTGCCCAGTGCATTTTAACCAGAAGCTGCCATGGATTTTGGTGCTCATAGGAAAACATTCCAACTTCAACACTTCAAATGCTGATCAACTTTCAGCTCTGTACCTGTAGGAAATGGATTGAACATGGCCTCGAGGCAGCTTTCCAGACTTAAGCTTGGACCCTCATGCGCCCCTGAGACCCTGGATTCCCCAGGAATTCCTGAGAGTTCCACGGTGCAGATGTGGGGTATGCAAATCAGTGAGCAAACTCCAGCCGCAAGGCTGGAGAGGGCAGGGGGCCCCACGCCTTTCCCGCATCAGACGGGGACCCCCTCCGAGTTCCCGGAACACACAAGCTTTTTCCCACCTTGGTCCCTCCACGCTTGCTGTTCCTAAAGCCAGAAACACTCTTCCTTCGCCTCCCCCACAGCTGGTTCTTCCTCCTCCTTCAGGCTTTCACTGAAATGTCAGCCACTCCAAGGGCCTTTCCCTGATCACCCGTCTGAAGGTGGTCCCTTCTGGGTTTCTCGGCCAAAGCAGCCTGCGTCGCATCGGTTGTAATGATTTCAGGGCTTCATAACTAGCTCTGCGTTCCCCCATTCACTACAAATTCCCCGAGGGCTGGTCATGTATCTATCTTGTTTAGGAGGAGGAGAGGGGGAGGAAGGGAGCAGGAAAAGAAGGAAGGGAGGGAGGAAGTGGGGAGGGAAGGAAAGGAGAAAGGGAGGGAGGGTGGATATTTGGGGCTCGAGATTCATACAATCTAAGGCAGGTTTTCTTAACCTCAGCACGATTGCCATTTGAGACGAATTAATTCCTTGTTGTAGGGGCTGTCTGGTGCATTGTACAATGTTTAGCAGCATCCTTGGTCTCTACCCACCAGGCACCACTCCCCCTGAGTTGTCACCACCCAAAATCCCTCCGGACATTGCCAAATGTCCCCTGGAGGGTAAAGTCGCCTCTGGATGAGAACCAAGGTCTACAGGTGTTCAACCTGGGTGGTTCGGTTGGTTAAGCGCCCAGCTTTGGCCCAGGTCATGATCTCACGGTCCGTGAGTTGGAGCCCCACATCGGGCTTAATGCAGTCAGTGCAGAGCCCGCTTCGGATCCTCTGTCCCCCTCTTTCTCTGCCCCTCCCCCACTGATTGGCTCTCGCTCCCGCTCTCTCTCTCTCTCTCTCTCTCGCTCTCTCGCTCTCTCTCAAAAATAAATAAATAAACTTAAAAAAACAGAGGTGTTCCATCTGTTTGTGACCACTGAACACTTGCTTCAAACCTAATTTGATATGGAGCCCCAATATATGAGACACATCACAGGGGAGCAGCCCCCGGGCTCCGTATCTGTCAGCTAGCACCTCACTAACGCCGCGTAACGGATGTCCCAAAACTCAAAGGCTTCCAGCAACAGGCATCTGTTGTCATGAGCTGGGTCTGCGGGTAGCCTGGGTTCAGCTGACCTCGGCTGGGCACGGCGGGGCAGCTCGCTGCCAGCTGAAAGGTGGCTACGCCTGGCTTTAGGCTGCAAATTGGGTTCAGGCTCATTCCAGCCATGTTGATCCCAGGGTAACACGGACACGCTCTTTGCGACAGCAGATCACCGACAACGCAGAAGGGCGTTAAGCCAGACCACGCAGGCACGTGTGCGTGTCTCCTTCAGTGTCAGGTCGGCAAACATGCCATTGTCCCCCGGGGCAAAACTGACATCCCTGGTGGGGAAATACAACTCCGTCCCCGAGGGAGGTTGGTGAACATTTGCTTCTCCATACTCCAGCCTCCCTAAACCTAACAACACGCCGGTCCAGACAGCCGGGACTCACGGACAGGGCCAATCCACCGGCCTGCGCTGACTCCTCCCCGACGCCTCGCTGAGCCTCCGCTCGGGATCCCAAGAGCATCACAAGGCCCTGAAGCCAGGCTCGGTCCACCAGCTCCCGATCACGCGTCTGCGCACTCAGCCGCCCTCCTCGCTCTGGCTCTCCTGAGCACCGAGAGGTGCGGCTTTCATTCAGCAAGTATTTTTCCAGAGCCTCCTCTGTCCAGAGCACTAGGGATCCAGTGGGGATCCTGGAGCACACGGCCAAGAGGGGCGAATGACCCCCCCACCAGGGGCGGCCCCACCGTCCACACGGACGGTACCATCGGCTGCCATGATCTCTCTCCTCTCTGATGAATGCTCCCGGTATTCATCTCCTCCGAAGCTGCGTTTGGGGCCCCAGAAGGACCCTTTTCCTGCTACGGCTCCGGCCCCTCGAACAGGGATCCTTTTGATACGGGGATTTGTCTTGTCAAGATATCATCATGTCTAAACCGAGGCTCTGTCAGCGGCCCCATGAAAATGAATAATGGCCGCAATTATGACCCGTATAACAGCCCAATAAAACCTAATTAAAATGATCCACATCCCATCTGCCAAGTGCAGGGCAAAGCAGCCAGAGAGGGATGGAGACCCAGTCAGTTCAAGGAGAGCAAGTAATGCGAATAATAATAATAATAACACTAATAATAAGAATAATATAATAATAAATATATAGTATTCACATGTTATAAAACAATATCATTATGACAATAACATCGTTACAGCTAACATCATGTGAGTACGGCGTGCCAGCCCCGGTGCTAACGGGGACTGTCCCTGATACACTGGATATGTAACATCCGTTTAACTTGCCATGGAACAAGTACTCTCATTGCCCCCATTTACAGAGGAGGAAACTGAGGCACAGAGAGATTAAGGAACCTGTTCAAAATGACACTACCAGTAGACGGCAGAACCGAAGGGTCCGGCTCCCTCGGTGCTCAGTGCACACGTGTTGAATGCCTGAATGTATCTGGTCAAGATTCCACGTCAGGCAACATAAGATGCCATGCAAACAACAGCAAATATTTAGTTAGCCCCCACTAGAAATCCAGGCCTTGTACTAAGAACAAAGCAAGGAGAAAAGATCAGCCAACCATTGACGTCTGAGATGATCATTGCTCTAATGAAGGTAGGTACGGATGTGAGGGCGATCTGGCCGCGGCATCTGTCACCCTGTTGATCGCCAGGGTTGATTCGGCTGACCGGGCTGGCTAGGCGTGTGTCCCCTTCCTCCCTCACCGCTCCATGTGTGTCCCTCCCGAAGCTGTGCGCTCGGTCGAAGAGGACGACCTTCCCCGATAGAGGAGGACCGTTCTTCGGTCAAGGGTATACGAGTAGCTGCGCTCCCCTGCTAGAACCTCCAAACAGGCTCTCAAGGTAGGTGAGTACAAGGTGAGTACTCACAAACACAGTGAGTACAAGGGCATGGACCCGGCCCAGGAAATCAAGGAAGGCTTCCCATAGGAGGCAAAACTGGAGCTGGGTCCTAACAGATGAATAAGAATTTGCCGGACAGACAGGCAGAGGGAGGCATTCCAGGCAGAGAGCCCAGCATGGGCAAAGTTGCCAAAGGGTCAGAGCCCCCCAGATGCCGGGAGTCACAAAGGGAAGCATGCAAGTGACAGTGGCAGAGGCGTGTGACAAGAAGGCTGGCGGGGTCAGCGGGTCAAGGTCATCAAGCACCTTTTAGGCCTGGCTGAGGAATTTATTTATTTATTTATTTATTTATTTTTTAACGTTTATTTATTTTGGGGACAGAGAGAGACAGAGCATGAACGGGGGAGGGGCAGAGAGAGAGGGAGACACAGAATCGGAAACAGGCTCCAAGCTCTGAGCCATCAGCCCAGAGCCTGACGCGGGGCTCGAACTCACGGACCGCGAGATCGTGACCTGGCTGAAGTCGGACGCTTAACCGACTGCGCCACCCAGGCGCCCCCTGGCTGAGGAATTTAACGTTCACCCCATAAGCCATGGGGAGCCCTGGAAGACCTCAAACCAGACGAGTGATGCGGTCAGATTCGTTTGCTAGGATGGTGCCTCGGGGAGCTGGGCAAGGACTGTCTTAGAAGAGACAGGAAAGCGCGAACCCTGGGACCTCTGGACACGGCAGCAGCACTTCATGAGGAAGCACAGGTTACCAAACTTCTTTATTAGAGATGAACCTAAAACAGGCCCCACGCGTGGCCAGATGGGGCCGCCCCGGCACCTAGCCCTATCCAGCACGACAGCCAGAACTGGGCCTAAGTAAGGAGTGGGGGGGCACAGACTATCCCTAAGCGGTTTTTTCCACGAGCATCCCCTGCCCCCGCCCGCCAGGAAGCCCACTCTGAAATCCCGGAGGCCATCACAGGTCTCCGTCTGCCCAAAGAATGGCGGGAGGTAAGACACCCTGTCTCCCGTCTCCGGGCCTGAAGTTCAGGAAGGTTCTGACTCTTCCAAACGGATGGGTCTTTAAAAACCCCAGGAGTCGAAGGCCGCAGGCACAGGAGACAGACTGGTTAAAAAAAAACCATTTCTGTCGTTGCCTTTGTCATTTCAAACGATGCTGCCCTTTGACCCAGGAAGAGTTTCCAAATGCATAAATAGAGCAATAATCTCCAGCATCAGTGTTTTGATAAAATGAAAGGCGGGGGGGAAGGAATATGTATTATAAACACCACCTCCGGGAAGCGTAGTCAGGAAAAGTTATTAAACATTCTGTCACAAGCTTGGAAGACAGCACTGTCCACCCCACCCGCCACTGAGTTCCTAATAAAGGCGGCATCTTGGAATTTGTCACTCTTGAATGCATAATTCACTAGTCAAAAAGCAGCGGTAATACATTGCATTTTCATAAGGGGCTCTGAAGCTGTCTAATTTCCCTGAGCCGCAGGACGACAGGAGGCTGTGGCCACTCGCAGAGGCCCCTTTATGCATTATGGATAGAGCCTTTGCAATTCAAAGTGACAGCTCAGCCTCCCCGTCACCTGCCCCCCAAACCCCAGATCATATTGGAAGGCCCAGAACTAAAGGGCTGGTCTGCCCTGGAACCGACCTCTGCCATTTGGTGCCTAGAAGTGAGGGTGTGTGTGTGTGTGTGTGTGTGTGCATGTGAGTGCGTGTTAAGGTGGGGGGAGGAAGCTGACATCATTACCCGGGTCTCACGGAACAGTCAGAAACACCGCCTGACCTGTCACGTGATGACATACCGGCAAGATGAGGCAAGCAAGCAGGCAATGAGCGGGTGAGGGCCCCCACACGTAGCACCGATGCCCTCCTCAGCCCAGAGCTCACGTAAACACTGGCATCTCTGAAAGCTGGATTGTGGCATCGGCGGGCGGACTATACCGTCAGGCTGCCGGCCGCTGAATTGGAGGAGTCTTCATGTGTCTTTGCCCGGCTGCCCCACAGAGGAGGCAGAAGCAGAGACAGAAAACCAGGCAAAGAAAGGGACGGTCGTGGGCAGAGGGTCGCTCGGAGTGGTGGGAAAATCCTAGACCAGGACCCAGGAGGCCCAGACCCTGAGCCCACCTCCCACGGTGAAATCGTAGGACCGAAGGCAAATACTCAGCCTTACCTGGTGTGGCCTAATAAAACTGCATAAGGTATTAGAAGGGGCATAGGACAAGTGGAGAGAATCGGGCTCACGTCCTGGCTTGACCACTGACTCACCTATTGCACGGCCCCTGAACACCTGGGCCGTCCTCTACTCACGCATATTTGACCCCAATGGTCAGTGCGCAACTGTCCCTTGTCCTTGGGGCTGAGGGTCCAGCCCATCTTACTACACTCTGTCCTGCCTTTTCTTTTTTAATGTTTATCGTTGAGAGAGAAAGAACATGAGTGGGGGAGGGGGGAGAGAGAGAGAGACGGAGACACGGAATCCGAAGCAGGCTCCGGGCTCCAAGCTGTCAGCACAGAGCCGGACGTGGGGCTCAAACTCGCAAACTGTGAGATCATGACCTGAGCCTAAGTGGGACGCTTAACCGACTGAGCCATCCAGGTGCCCCGACCCTGTCCTACTTTTTATGCAGAGGGTACAGAGCTGAACTGCCCGAATTTGAGTCCTAGCTCTGCTCTAACATCTCTAGACCTCAATTTCTCCATCGCGAAAACGGGCATAAAAATACTACCCACCTCAAAGAGATGGTGATGACTGATCTAGGGCAGAGGTGCTGGAGAGGAAAATGAGGAGAAGTGTGACACCGAGGTGGAGCTCAGAAATGCCAGACCAAAAAAAAAAAAAAAAATGGAATAGAGTGGTAGATGCCAAGTATGGGCTGGGTCAGGCCAGGGCAAAACAGCTCCAGGGAGCACCTTTGCTGGTGGGTGTTTTCCAAACCCCGCAATGCCAAGGAGTGCCACGACCAGCTTTCTGCTCCCAAATACACTGGCATCTGGGCTCACCGACCTCCTTCTCCGAGGGCCGGCTGTCAGTGGACAAGGCCACGAGGGCCAGAGAAGCCCTGAGACACAGAGACAGCTGGGTCTACGTGACGACCAGTGTGGTCAATTCAGTCAAAATGAGGAGAAGTGAAAAGCAATATCTAGTAAGAAACAGATGGAGGAAAACCTCTCATTTCCTCCTTATAACCATCGCTGCCACAACGAAGCTGGTTCTTTTCATCCTGCTTGTCCTCAAGGGGCCCCCCAGGGCCTTGGTGGTGACAGACGAGCATCCAAGGGTGACAGAGGTTAGCACCTCTTAACAGCCAGCCCCTCTGGGAGCAGGGGGCAGACCGTCTTTGTGCAAAGGCCTCAACGAGCCACCTGAGATGGACAGCGAGGACCCAGAGGCATGGCAGGGAGTCCACAGAGGAAAAGAACTGAACTTCTCTGCACACGACAAGCAAGATAATGGTCCTGACTCCTGGGAGGACAGGGCAGGAGAGCGAAAAAGGGGAAACAGTTGAGAAGGGAAAGGAAGGAAACCTGGGGAGAATGACACCCTGTGACATCTGGTGAAGCCCTGTTGATTAAGTGGCTTGAAGTTATTTAAGACGAGGATGTATTCCGGTCGTTAACCCCTCGCCCCCAAAATACAGCTTTACTTAAATCCTGCTAGCTTGGCACACTCATGAATGCTGGGAAGAAGTGGGGTCCTTCGTGGGCCTCGAGGCAGGGACTGTGTTTCCCAGTTGGGTCTGTAAGCATTAACCATGGATTTCAACCCCGAAGACCGAAGGCCCAGGACCAAGGTGTCGAGGCAGAGAACTTGGGAGAGTTTGGGATAAATGTCAGATACAAAATAGAGGCTCCCAATGGAATAGAATAGAAACCCCAGAACTAGACCCACAAGCGTGTGGCCAACTCATCTTTGACAAAGCGGGAAAGAACATCCAATGGAAAAAAGACAGTCTCTTTAACAAATGGTGCTGGGAGAACTGGACAGCAACATGCAGAAGGTTGAAACTAGACCCACTTTCTCACACCATTCACAAAAATAAACTCAAAATGGATCAAGGACCTGAATGTGAGACAGGAAACCATCAAAACCTTAGAGGAGAAAGCAGGAAAAGACCTCTCTGACCTCAGCCGTAGCAATCTCTTACTCGACACATCCCCAAAGGCAAGGGAATTAAAAGCAAAAGTGAATTACTGGGACCTTATGAAGATCAAAAGCTTCTGCACAGCAAAGGAAACAACCAACAAAACTAAAAGGCAACCAACGGAATGGGAAAAGATATTTGCAAATGACATATCGGACAAAGGGCTGGTATCCAAAATCTGTAAAGAGCTCACCAAACTCCACCCCCGAAAAACAAATAACCCAGTGAAGAAATGGGCAGAAAACATGAATAGACACTTCTCTAAAGAAGACATCCGGATGGCCAACAGGCACATGAAAAGATGTTCAACGTCACTCCTCATCAGGGAAATACAAATCAAAACCACACTCAGGTATCACCTCACGCCAGTCAGAGTGGCCAAAATGAACAAATCAGGAGACTATAGATGCTGGCGAGGATGTGGAGAAACGGGAACCCTCTTGCACTGTTGGTGGGAATGCAAATTGGTGCAGCCGCTCTGGAAAGCAGTGTGGAGGTTCCTCAGAAAATTAAAAATAGACCTACCCTATGACCCAGCAATAGCACTGCTAGGAATTTATCCAAGGGATACAGGAGTACTGATGCATAGGGGCACTTGTACCCCCATGTTTATAGCAGCACTCTCAACAATAGCCAAATGATGGAAAGAGCCTAAATGTCCATCAACTGATGAATGGATAAAGAAATTGTGGTTTATATACACAATGGAATACTACGTGGCAATGAGAAAAAATGAAATATGGCCTTTTGTAGCAACGTGGATGGAACCGGAGAGTGTGATGCTAAGTGAAATAAGCCATACAGAGAAAGACAGACACCATATGGTTTCACTCTTATGTGGATCCTG